GTGTGTAATATGGAGAGAGGAGAGGGGACTGTGTGTAATATGGAGAGAGGAGAGTGGACTGTGTGTAATATGGAGAGAGGAGAGGACTGTGTGTAATATGGAGAGAGGAGAGGACTGTGTGTAATATGGAGAGAGAGAGGACTGTGTGTAATATGGAGAGAGAGGGGGGACTGTGTGTAATATGGAGAGGGGGGGAGGGGGGGGGGTATTGTGTGTGGCAAAGCTAGCCACTGATAGACTTAAACCGTATATTTAAGCAACCTGTATATTTCTGCTATTGTTATCGGTATTGTGCATTGTATGCGGTATTCGTGTGTTACAGCACACGAATACCGCTAAGTTTGTCCTGTTACCACAAACGGTGAATCACCACACTGTTTGTGGAATAAGCAAAGTACCGAATGGGAGACCACCCATAGCAGGTCGTGTGTCTCCAATTAGCTACTTTGCAACATTGTATCTGGGTTAATTGCAGTCTGTTGCGGGTGGCTGCCATTCGCATACCGAACATGACGTGGCGGCCATCTTTGTTCGAGGAAAGCCAGCGGGAGTTTGCCGTTTTCGGGACTTTCATTCCCTTAGTTCAGGCAATCGGTTAAACAAAAGGGTCCTGATAAGGGAAACTGAACCGCGTTCGGTTATTTGTGCTGGGATCTGAGCGCAAGTTCCCTTAACAGTGCGCCCAGGTCCCAGCTATGTAATACATGGTTAAATAGCCGTCTAGCACAAATATTATGTTGGTTATGGATTTTAATATGAAAATTGTATTTCTCTGTACCAAGGGATAAGAGAGAGAGGGGGGGGCTGTGTGTAATATGGAGAGAGAGGGGGGGGGCTGTGTGTAATATGGAGAGAGGGGTGGGGCTGTGTGTAATATGGAGAGAGAGGGGGGCTGTGTGTAATATGGAGATAGAGAGGGGGCTGTGTGCCCTTTGGGCGAGGACGCCATCCCTAAGTCGGCGTTTGTCTCCGTTTGGCCTGTACCAGTTTAGGGTCATGCCATTCGGAATGAAAAACGCTCCAGCCACCTTCCAAAGAATGGTGGACCGGCTATTGGACGGGTTTCAGGAATACGCTTGCGCCTATCTAGACGACTTAGCGATCTTTAGCTATTCCTGGACCGATCATCTGAGCCCTCTTAGATCGTATTAAGGAGGCAGGTCTGACCCTTAAACCTAGCAAGTGCCATATAGGGATGTCCGAAGTCCAATATCTAGGACACCGGGTAGGAAGCAGCCAGCAGAAGCCTGAACCTGCTAAAATAGAGGCCGTAGCCAAATGGCCAACCCCCCGCACCAAAACCCAGGTTCTAGCATTTTTAGGTACCGCAGGGTATTATCGAAAATTTGTGTCCTATTACAGTACCCTGGCCAAACCCCTCACAGATTTAAACCGCAAAAACCTCCCTAAGTTAGTAGTATGGGCCCCAGAGTGTGAACAGGCATTCCAACAACTAAAAACTGCTCTTTTTAACACACCTGTACTTGCTGCTCCTGATCCAACTAAACGCTTTCTCGTCCACACAGACGCTTCTATGTTTGGATTGGGAGCAGTACTGAGCCATGTCGGAGCAGATGGCAGCGAGCATCCCGTAGCTTACTGAAGTAGAAAACTTTTACCCCGAGTAAGCTACGCCGACATCAAAAAGGAATGCCTTGCCGTGGTGTGGGCCCTCAAAAAACTGCAACCATATTTATACGGACATCCATTCTCGCTACTCACAGATCACAACGCGTTGGTCTGGCTAAATCGGGTATGAGGAGACAATGCCTGGCTGCTGCGTTGGAGTTTGGCGTTGCAGCCTTTTGACTTTATGATCCACTACCGCCCGGGAAAGCTAAACGCAACGCTGACTGGTTATCCAGACGAATGGAACTCGAAAAGTGATCTGTGAGTACTCCTCCGGACATCCCCAAGCTGATCCATTGGGATCAGACTGTTTATGCTGGCTTGGTTCTAGGGGAGCATTGTGGCAAATTTAGCCACTGATAGATTTAAACCGTATATTTAAGCAACCTGTATATTTCTGCTATTGTTATCTGTATTGTGCAATGTATGCGGTATTCGTGTGTTACAGCACACGAATACCGCTAAGTATAAGTTTGGTTACCACAAACAGTGAATCACCACACTGTTCGTGGAATAAGCAAAGTACCGAATGGGAGACCACCCATAGCAGGTCGTGTGTCTCCAATTAGGTACTTTGCAACATTGTATCAGGGTTAATTGCAGTCTGTTGCGGGTGGCCGCCATTCGTATACCGAACATGAGGTGGCGGCCATCTTTGTTTGCGGAAAGCCAGCGGGAGTTTGCCGTTTTCGGGACTTTCATTACCTCAGTTCAGGCAATCGGTTAAACAAAAGGGTCCTGATAAGGGAAAATTAACCACGTTCGGTTATTTGTGCTGGGATCTGAGCACAAGTTCCCTTAACTGAGCGCCCAGGTCCCAGCTATGTAATAAAGGGTTAAATAGCTGTCTAGCACAAATATTATGTTGGTTATGGATTTTAATATGAAAACTGTATTTCTCTGTACCAAGGGATAATCCCATTAGCAATGCATTCTGGGATAACTATC